TCCTAGAGAATAAAAACGAGAAAAAAAGGTAGCGATTTTCTTCTTAAGTGTACTCTTCAATTCTTTCGTCATGTGCATATGGTAGCTCTAAACAAACTTGAAAATCAACCAAATTAAATGGACATGTCAATGGCTTAAATTAAAGTTCTTGCCAAACGAGTAATAGGGCCATCGTTTAGCCTTTTAATTTTATGTGAATAGGTTCTTTGAGTTATTGTATAAAAAGTTAATGAATCCATAAAATTAAACAACCTCGTACACTAGCCAATCCTGCACATGTGATGACTACCACACAATTTGTATCATATAAGACTTTGTTCTATTCTATTTGTAACGTCTCTCTTGGCTTGTAACTTTATTCTTGCTAAACACGTAAACCTTATGGATTATTTTGTTTTTGGACATATTTTAGATAGGCCATTCACCAACTGTTTTAATGTCTGTCTCTACCTTTTGATTTCACCATATACAGTAGAGAGAGAAAAGTATGTTTGCTAAATTCTGACAAAAAAATGGGGAATTGCAGAGAGAGAAGACATGGCAAAAGGAAGTTACGAGAAGGCCATTGTTTCACTCCAGAACCTCCTCAGGTTTGGACCATCGTATGTATAGCATTAACTGCTATATGGTTTAAAAAGGAATCGTAAGATACTTTTGTTTTTAAATATTGAGAAACAGAACCAAAGTTGTTTCTTTTAACCCAAGTATTTGTTCAAAGTTGTGTTTTAAAACTTCTTCAACAAAAATATTTTTAAATATCTAGCTGCTTAAACAGTTTTTCATAAAAGTTATTGAAAATTTATTTTATATTTGAATGATTATTCTAAGAAAAGATAATAAATATATTTACGTAGTTTAACTATGTTGTAACATATATGTTTATATAAATTTTGTATTCATTATAGAGTAATAATTACTAAAGGAGTAATAGATGCAGTGTGGTACATAATAACACTTGCTTAAGAATATACATTTCTTGCTTAAGCAGCAATTTAATAAACCAATAGTATTAATTATGGGTGTTGGATTTGGAAATCGTGCAATTGAAGTGAGAAGGAAGAACTGAAACCGGTTGTAGCAGAAAGAATTGATGAAATCACAGCTCAGTTACAAACGACAAGCTGCAAATCCTTCGACCCTGTTCAAAGGATCAAGACTGGCTTTTATTATTTCAAAACAGAGATATATGAGTAAAGCCCCTACGTTCCCTTCTTTTTCTTTTCCCTAACATGTTAAAAGTATGTTATTAATTTTCATACAATGATAATTAAACAAAACAACCTTGAAATGACAACGCCTAATAAACTATTTCATACATGTACCAGCAAAAACCCAGAATTGTTTGAGAAACTCAAGAAAGGACAAGATCCCAAGGTACAAGATGTTATCACTTTTGTTGCTGTTGATGCATTAGAGTAACGTTAAAGTTATCTCTGTGTGACCTATAGGTTAGGGCTATTGGAATAAAATGGCCCAATGATACTCTTAACAGTGTGAAACTTTGTTCACACATACCCACCAAGGGGTTCAAGCCATGGAAGCAGTCACTAATGTTTGCATTAAGGTAGACTATCTACATCACACCCTTTGGGTGCAGGCTTTTTGCAGAACTTGCGTAAATACGGGATGCCTTGTGCACCGGGCAGCCTTTTAGTATCTCTGCATTAGTTAGCACAGCAAAAAATTCTGTTGGTCAGTGAAATATAACTAGCTGCTCACACAATGTACGAGTTGTGACTTCTCAGGCACTGAATTAGCTCGATCAGTAGGAAGATTTTTTTTTTTACTTTGTAATTTAATTTTCTATAGCTGAAAAATCAAGTATCCAACCATGTAACAGTTTCTGGTGTTTGCCTGCTCCGATTCACGAGTGAGCCCATCTCATGTGCTGAATTTTCAGCTCGGTGAAGCTTTTATGCTTCGAAACATCGCCAATATGGTCCCTCCTTATGACAAGGTCATTTATCAGTTTAATTTCTATGAATTAACTCCTTCGTTCTATTTTGTATTAATATTGTTAATTTACTTTACTTTTGGGTTGGAATTGGATTGCAACAGACTAAATACTCGGGAGTAGGAGCTGTAATCGAATACGCTATTGCCCATCTTAAGGTAGAAAACATATTAATCATTGACCATAGTGCATGTGGAGGTATTAAGGCTCTCATGAAACTCCCAGAAGATTGTTCTGAATCGACGTATTTATCGTTAAGTAAACCATTTAAGTTATACATATTAATAGTATAGCGAATAAGAAAACAATGTTTATCTTAACAATTAATTATGTTATATATTACTAATTTGAAGAAATATTTATATGTGATAATGTAGTGACTTTATAGAGGATTGGGTTAAAATTAGATTACCTGCCAAAGCAAAGGTGCTAGCTGAACATGGGGATAAAACTTTTGAAGAGCAAGTCAAATACTGTGAGAAGGTAAAATAGTGTTCTCACACTAATTGTTCTTTTCTTTTTTACTTTTGCTTATAAATGTCAACTAATATTTATAACTAACAATGGGAATGGATAAAATGTAGGAAGCTGTGAATGTATCACTAGCCAATTTGCTTACGTACCCATTTGTGAGCGATGCTTTGGTGAATAAGACTTTGGCGTTGAAGGGAGGTTACTATGATTTCATGAAAGGAATATTTGAGCTCTGGGGACTCAACTTCGGTCTTTCTGATCCTTGTTATATATAAACTCAATACCACCATATTCGGGCGGGAGAAGATACCTCTTGTTCTTGCTTTTTCTTATTGTATTCATCATTTATGAGTGCTAGTTTGAATTTCTGAATAAATAATAAGAGAGAGTGGACAACGATTCTCCCATCTTGTGGTAGAAGAGAATAGTTGTGATTTTTATTTGTGATAATGACTCTGCTCTGCAAAGAAAAATAATGTATAATGATAACTTTGTAATTCTAGTTTAGAAAGTGTGGTCACAATAATTTTTATTTTGTCTTGGGCTTTGTTGGGTAAAGGATATGCCAGCAATTTTCTTGCACTCAAACGAAAGGTTCACAAATCATCAACATGCTTTTATAGACAAAATGACACTAGGTAGCCACTTTAGATGGCTGTATTTAAAAATTAGTCAGTGCGTCCTGAATTTTAGTTTTTTTAGTTCAAATTTTCAGGACAAAAATATTTTAAATTGTCCTGAAGTTAAGATTTTTAGTATAACGATCCGACCCGGTCGTTTTGCTTTCTAGATCCCCATTCCCCTAAATAAGACTCCCCATATGTGCTTTAACTATTTTATGATTTACAGGGATGGTTAGTTCAGGATTTGGAAGGGTCCAAGGTGAAATCGGAACACTTAGTTCCTTTTTGTTAATCAAAGTCCACTAGGCATTGTGCATAGGATTCATTCTCATAGATATAAAATATAGTACAACAAAAAGGAGGGGGACATAAACCTTACCTCCGGTAATAAAATGAAAGTGCATTTGGTCAGCCAAGTATGGCAACCAAAAGAGCTCTGAAACCTATGGTGAGTTAGACATATGATGATGAACCAATTGTCTATCCAACAGTGATAGACAATTGGAACTGCAAAATACAAGTGTAGTAAGCCTAGGTCAACTATACAAAAATGCACAACTGATCCTAAATCTACTAAGCAAAAGAGTTGGAAGATTATATTCCATATACAACAAATTCTACCTCTATTGAAAAAGTAGAAGTGTTCTAGTAGTAATGGTAAACAACATAAACTATAGATGGAAGCTATCTTCCATTTTGCTTTGACATTGGGAAAGAAAGCCAAATGGAAGATAGCTATCAAAAAGGCTCCAAAAGAGGGGTTATTGAGCTGTGACTGTCTGCTAATTCTGACAGAAAAGAGTGAGCAACTTCCTGCATCAAATATCCCCTTTGACTTGAGGTTTGCAGAGTGTGTGCAGGACTGGATAGCTGGGACAGAGTAGCTTGTACAGATGACTTGCTGTTGCAAATGTGCCTNATATATATGGGTTGCGCATGTGGCGAGACAAGTTGGGAACATTAATATGCACGTGTGGCGAGACAAGGTGGGCATTTACTTTATTATTGCGCACGTGGCGAGACAAGGTGGGCTATGTCAGTGATTGATTGTAATGACTTGCGATGGCCTGGAGGCATTATTATTGTTGTTATTTGTGTAGTGGTGTGCCTACGCTGTGTGCGTTATACCGTGTTCATTTCATAGTGGTCGTTTCTTATGTGTCATTCATTGTCGCTACTCTTACTTGTTGACTAGCATTGTGATAGAACACTAGCACAAGCCTACACGTAGTTAATCACCCCTAACGATTCAAGAAAATGGATCCTAATGTTATTGATCATTTCTATACACCCTCGTCTATTTGCCTCTACGTGAGAAGGGTTCTATTGACATGTGTGTCGTCTGTGTAGTTATTAGCTATAATGAGGGTACAAGATGCCAAGTGTTTAGGTTCACAAATTAGGACCCGTCAATTATGAATATTTTGAGGTTCTGTACCTCATGGAGAATATTGAATAAAACCTTGTGTGAAAGTGGTTATTCACTAATGATATGAAAATTATTTATATAATGAGGCCAGTGCTTATAAAGTGATTATACTCATTGATTATCCGGTAAATTGGCAACAAACGTGCTAACACATATTTGAATTCACTATTATATCAAAAAATCTTTACATTTTATCTTAAATCTTAAATCCACTTACAGTAGTAGCTAACTGAGATATGGTGATCACTAAAAGGTTATAATTACGGTGGTCCGACCCAGCGCATGCTTCACGAGATATGGTGATCAAATGGATTGAAATTCTTATTTGCCTAGCAGTCGTTTTCAACAGTTTCATCGTTTGGTTTATTATGTAACATACATAAAATGAATAATAAAAAAATGATAATGACTTGTATACCAAATCAAAGAAAGATGATAGAGGACACGGCAACTAGTTTTACTAGTTACTAGTAGCTAATTGAGTAGTATAAATTTCAGGCTAAAGAAACCAAAATTTCCCACCCATATTTCTTCGCCCTTCTGCTTTTGCAAGACTTAATAACTCTTCAGCTTCCTCCCATCATCTCCCCACTTTGGTATATATATACATACCTTCTCACCTTTTCCTAATTCACCTTCTTTCTTTCTGTCTTGATCGGTATATATAGCTTATATTAGAGTTTAAATTGTGTATATCGTTGAACTGTTACATCATCAAGTCATTTCTACATGTTATAGCATATTAGCTTATTTTATTTTTAAGAACACAAATTTCACATTTTAAGCTTACCTATAGATATTCTTTAGTCGACATGATATAGTATAAAAGGTCTCATTGAAATTCTAGGCGACTAGACTTTACAAACTATTTCTTCCGAGTATAATCAGTTTTATGCAAAAATTTAAATACTTACATAATTATATTGTTGGTGCATATAACCTATTTAGATGATTTTAATGTCTTTTTATCTAGCCAAGTAAATATTGTTAACAATGCATTGCTAACATACGTGACTCTCTTATTATTAATTCACCTTTTACCTTGTTATCATTAATCTTCGAAATTAAGATAGTTGTTGTCTCGAATACCCATGAAGATCCTAGAGAATAATAACGAGAAAAAAAGGAATCGATTTTCTTCTTAAGTGTACTCTTCAATTCTTTCGTCATGTGCATGTGGTAGCTCTAAATAAACTTGAAAATCAACCAAATTAAATGGTCATGTCAATGGCGTAAATTAAAGTTCTTGCCAAACGTGTAATAGGGCCATCGTTTAGCCTTTTAATTTTATGTGAGTAGGTTCTTTGAGTTATTGTATGAAAAATTAATGAATCCATAAAATTAAACAACCTCGTACACTAGCCAATCCTGCACATGTGATGACTACCACACAATTTGCATCGTATAACACTTTGTTTATTCTATTTATAACGTCTTTCTTGGCTTGTAACTTTCTTCTTGCTAAACATGTAAAACTTATGGATTATTTTGTTTTTGGACATATTTTAGATAGGCCACTCACCAATTGTTTTAATGTCTATCTCTACCTTTTGATTTCACCATATACAGTAGAGAGAGAAAAGTATGTTTGCTAAATTTTGACAAAAAAATGGGAATTGCAGAGAGAGAAGACATGGCAAAAGGAAGTTACGAGAAGGCCATTGTTTCACTCCAGAAACTCCTCAGGTTTGGACCATGGCATGTATAACATTAACTGCTATATGGTTTAAAAAGGAATCGTAAGATACTTTTGTTTTTAAATATTGAGAAACAGAACCAAAGTTGTTCATTTTAACCCAAGTGTTTGTTCAAAGTTGTGTTTTAAAACTTCTTCAACAAAAATATATTTAAATATCTAGCTGCTTAAACAGTTTTTCATAAAAGTTATTGAAAATTTATTTTATATTTGAATGATCATTCTTAGAAAAGATAATAAATATATTTACGTAGTTTAACTATGTTGTAACATATATGTTTATATAAATTTTGTATTCATTACAGAGTAATAATTACTAAAGGAGTAATAGATGCAGTGTGGTACATAATAACACTTGCTTAAGAATATACATTTCTTGCTTAAGCAGCAATTTAATAAACCAATAGTATTAATTATGGGTGTTGGATTGGAAATCGTGCAATTGAAGTGAGAAGGAAGAACTGAAACCGGTTGTAGCAGAAAGAATTGATGAAATCACAGCTGAGTTACAAACGACAAGCTGCAAATCCTTCGACCCTGTTCAAAGGATCAAGACTGGCTTTTATTATTTCAAAACAGAGATATATGAGTAAAGACCCTACGTTCCCTTCTTTTTCTTTTCCCTTAACATGTTAAAAGTGTGTTATTATTATCAT